GAGCATCTTGCAACCCCAGCTCTCGTCTCTTCTGATCAAACTGTTGCCGAGTCTTACTTGTGGATAGCACCTCAGAGGTCTAGAAACAAAAGCTCGAAACTTTTGATTCGAAATACAAGCCCTTGCACACGGCTCCAATCCGGAACTTGTTCCCTCCCTCGCGCTGACACGTCCTGCGTCAGTCTGGTCAATGTCACATCGAAGTTGCCACGTGGCTGTCTTGGCTTTGCCCAGCGGTGACTGTGACTTGTTAAAGCGGAGCGATTGCTCTACGCGGCATCGCAATGCGATTAATTTCTGAAATCTTTCCGAGCCTCCGCGATCAAGGGATGAACTCGGATGACGAGACGAGATCCATCTGAAATGATTCAGCGACCCCTGACTAACTTCTACTGACACTTAATTTCTATGAGTAGGGCACATTCTTCGATTGCGGGGCTTGGAAACGGTTGCTCGCAGGGTGCCACTTCTCCCGTAGAAAATTTTACCCAAAGTCCTGTGCTCCGTACCTAGATGTGCTGGTCCCAAGTTCATTGGCATTCCCAGAGCGTTCATGCGGCGCAAGCGTATGCTAGGTGAGGCCCGCAAGGTCAATCTGAATGAATGAAAGGCTGTTCCCAAAAAAGAAGAGGAAGAGGGGGGTATCTGGATCCGCAGTCTTATAATAATTGAATACTAACTTACCACTAGCCCGACCGACTGACCCCCTCGTCTGGGAAAAGCCATCACTTCCCGCCCTTGCGGCGCTTAGTTGGCGGAGCCGGCATCTTGACTGCGTCCTGCTTGGTCTTGACATCCTTGACCATCTTCTCGGCGGCGGCGAGAATCTCGGTTGGAATGTCGCGCTTGTTGAGCTTCACTGCAAGGAATCCATTCTTCAGGAACTCCTGCCCATCAGCCAGCCATTCCCCCAACATCTTTTTCTCCTCTCCTGTCAAACTCTGTGGCTCCTTGGACAAGATAGCCTTCTGATCCTCACATTTGAAAATCACATCAGCGGCCATGCACGACCACATCAGCTTCGCCATGTGCTTCTGGGATGGGAAGTCTCCCAGCACGGACTTCAACGTGCAAATGCGAGCCTCGAAGCCCGGCACTGACGTCAGATCCTTCTCCCAGGAAATAACGCATTCTGCGACGGCTTCATCCGTGCAGAATTGTACCATGCCTGCGGGGGCAAGGGCAAGGGCAAGGGTAGGTATTAAATGCGTTACATTTAATTCAGGATGGGATGGGATTTATGATTTAAGGTCCTTAGTGGTGTGCTGCTTCAGTTTAGGTTTAGGTTGAGGGCTTAGCTTCGGGGTAAACATAAGAACGGGCCGTAAAAAACTAGCCTTTGGCAGCAGACTCGACGCGACTCTTCAGGGTGTCGTTCTCATCAGCCATGCGATCCAAAATGGGCAGCGCCTGAACTGAATCCGCAACCTTTGTAGCATCCGCCAAGGGCTGCAGGACGTTGCAAAGATCCTTCAGGGTGACCTTGCGGGAGGAAAGACGCTCAGTCAGTCCTTCCATTGTGATCTGCAGGCTGTTCCTCAACGATGTGGACATGCCCTCGAGTTTCTCCTTGTCCACCCAAGTAGTGTCAGAGGCGGAAGCTGCGGTAACCTCCACAAGGCTCACGACGCACGTTCTAACCTCATCATCCTTTGCAAGGACCTTGTCGAACTGGGCAGTGGCATCTCTAGATTCGGCAGGCAGCGCATACTGCTTCGAGAGCTTAGCCACACGAAGTTGGCTTTGTGCCTCTTTGCCAAGGCTTGCCTCCACCTTGCTGGACAGTCCGAGCAACGAATCAAGCTCGCCACCCCGCACCATGACCTTGAAGGACTTCGACGGCAAGTCCTCGCAGGTCGCCAGCATCTCCATTATCTTGTTGACAATGGGGGTCACGCCGTTTGGCACGCCTCAGAATTCACCGACTCAGACCGTCAACCCTTCCTACGCCCTAGTTTTTTTTGGTATCAAACGAGCCTTGGGGCCCGTACCCTGAACCCGAGCCTAGACCTCCTAAGATTCCTAAGGCCCTGGGCCAAGGCCCTAACTAGTCTGGTCCGGCATCGACTTCAGCATGGCTAGGTGAGGGCTGGATTTGAGCTTCTCCAAGGCCAAGCAAAGATTGGAAAAGTTGTCCACAGTCAAGGCGGAATCGTGCTCATGGACCCTCTCAATGAGCTCGCAGCTGTCAGCCACTGCGCTGACCAGCGCTTTTTCGAAGGAGTCATTGGCAGTCGCCCAGTCGGCCACCTTCGATGGAACTTACAACGCAGACATCTGACACATCTCATCTAAGTCTAAGTCTAAGGGCTAGGGGTATGCAAAGAACACCAGACATGGCAACATTACGGTGACATCAAATCGGGGCAGACGGAAAAAAAACACTGGCGTTTCATTCCATGCCCTGGCCTTGAAGGTCTTCAAGAGGCGAATCAAGCCCCGAACCGCCGTCCCATCGCGAAGGCCAGGAAAGGCGTCACTCTTCAGACCGGACACGCCGCAGATCACGGCGGCAATAACATCCAGCGCTTGCGGCAGGAACTCGTTCAAAGACCTCTCGATCTCTCCGCATGCGTCGATGAATGCCTTCACGCCGTCGTCGGGC